TGTTGTCTGAAACAGAAAGAGTTTCAGTTTTTCTTTTCCAAACTGCATATCTTTTATTATTTTTTCTTACCTTATTGTAGCAGCTAGGATTTCAAGTAAATGGTGAATAGGAGTGGTGAATGCGGGCATCTGTGCCTTGTTCATGATTTTAGATAGAAAATGCTGAGTATGAGTTTCAGCTTGAATTTTTGTAGCTGCCCTTGGCCAGCTTGACAAATTCCTTCTATTCTTCATTTGCTGAGTATTTTTCTCTTCCATGGGTATTGAATTTTTTTCAAAAGCTTTTCCTATATTTACTGAAATGATCATATGGTTTATCTACTTTGTTCTGTTGATGTAATAAATAACAAAGTACATTGATTGATGTGAGCCAATCTTCAATTCCTGAGATAAACTCCACTTTCTCATAATGTATTATTCTTTTTAACACGTTGTTGAAATTGATTTGGTAAAATCTTATGAGGACGTTTTACAACTATGTCAGTAAGGTCTGTTCTTTTTTGTAATGTGATTGTCTGGCTTGAATATTAGAGTAATGCTTGACTGGAAAGTGTTATCTCCTGTGACGTTTCCAAAACAAGTTTTGTGTAGAACTGGTACTATTTCTGCCATAAATATTTGAGAGAATTTGCTAGAAAAGCCATCTGAACTTCTAGTTTCCTTTATGGGAAAGTTATTAATTATAAATTTAATTTTCATCATTGATATGGAGCTATTCAAATTCTCCAGATTTTCTTGGGTCAGTTTTGGTAATTTGTCTGTCTCAGGGAATTTGTCCATTTCATCTAAGTTGCCCCATTTATTAGCATGAAGTTGTTCCTTTATTAGCTTTTAAGATGTCTGGAGGATAATGATAAACCCTCCTTTAATCTTGAGATTGTCTTGATAATTAATTTTAGGTCTTTTTTTTTTCTTTTCTAGTATAAACATTTAAAGTTTTAAATGGGCCTCTAAGCACTGCTTACCTGTATCCCACAAAGTTTGACATCCTGTATTTTTCTGAACATTCAGGGAAAAATATTTTCTAATTCCCCCTGTGATTTCTTCTTTGATCTGTAAATTATTTAGAAGTAGGTTGGTTAGGGGGCACCTGGGTGGCTCAGTGGGTTAAAGCCTCTGCATTCGGCTCAGGTCATAATCCCAGGGTCCTGGGATTGAGCCCCTCATCAGGGTCGCTGCTCAGCAGGGAACCTACTTCCCTTCCTCTCTCTCTCTGCCTGCTTCTCTGCCGACTTGTGATCTCTGTCAAATAAATAAATTTTTTAAAAAAAGAAGTAGGTTGCTTAATTTCAAATATGTGAGGATTTCCTAATTATCTTACTCTCAATTGATGCTGACTTAATCCCTTCTTTAATTTTTAAATTTTTTTTAAATTTACTTTTTTTAGAGAGAAAAAGAGAGCAGGAACAGTGGGGAGAGACAGAGGGAGAGAGAGGATCTTAGGCAGGCTCCACACTGAGCACCGAGACTGACATGGGGCTCAATCTCATGACCCTGAGATCATGACTTGAGCTGGGATCAAGCGTCAGACACTTAATCACCCAGGTGAATCACCCAGGTGCCCCTTAATTCTTTAAAATCAGAGAATATGTCCTATATGATTTTAATTTTTAAAAATTTACTGAGACTTGTTTTATGGTCCAACACTTACTCTACCCTATTGAATATTCCACGTACACTTAGAAAGAACACGTATTTTGCATCTGTGGGTGTATGTCCTATAAATAGGCCACAGTGACTGACAGTTGATCTTCTGCGTCTTTGCTGACATTTTATGTAGTTGTTCTATCAGTTATTTAGAGAGGGTTGTTAGAAGTTCTTCTATGATACAGGAGTTGTCTGTTTCTCCCTTTCGTCTGCCCATTTTTGCTTCATGTCCATTGAAGCTGTTATTAGGTACACAGACATTTAAAATCTTTATACCTTTCTGATGAATTGAACTTTAAAAAAAAAATCACTGTATAATGTCAAAATCTCACCAACATAGATCTTATTTTCCAAAGTTCTTTTAGTTCTCCTTTCCAAATACTTTAAATTCTCCACAATTCCACTTAGGTTTGAACTTCAAAGGCTGTTGACCTCTCCACACCCTTCCAACTGGTACTGAGACACTGTCATGTCCTCCCAGCTCCCACACGGAAGATCCTGGAAGGACAGAACTTCTTAGTAAAGGAAGAATTGTTTGGTAACCTGTATGTCAATAAAATGTGGGTATTAACCCTTATCACAGTTGTCGAGTTTTGTGATATTCCAAATGTGCCAAGATTATCTGGGACAAGTTGGTAATTGTAGAATATGAAGTGGAGGGATCAATGCTGAGTGATTTTAAATCATCTATTTCAAGAGCAACATCAGATTTCATACTGCTCTTCTGAAGTGAGGGGCTGAGGGTTAGTATGTACTTGGACTAAAACTCAAGCAAATGGTGACTAGAGACCTGCTCAGAGGTTTTGATGTTTTATTGAATTTTAGAGCATTGTCATGTTATTGCGTTTTAAAGCAAAAAAAGCAGAAATCATTTCATTTCTGAAACTACCACAGAGCACTCAGCAATAGGACATTCGCCCCTCGAGCTTTACTATCTGGAGCTCTGATTTTCTAGATGTATTCAGTACCTATAAATATCTATGTGTTTTGTTCCCCTCACTCATTTGGGAAACCACAAAAAGGAGAGTCACGCCCAGAAGTTCTTATGCATATCGCTCTAATCTGAATAAATTATACGCAAGGACAATTTATGTGCGTAAGGCAAAATGTGTATAGGGCTTCGACAGCGCAGTGATCTCTACTGATCCAACTGCTCTAAACGTGTGTAATTTTCCAAGGTTGCGTCAATATACCTAAGGAAGGGCCAAAGACAAAGTAAAACGTTGGGACCCGAGCACCTACTATGATCAACTGCCCTAACCCGTGGGGTCGTTTGGTAGACCGCCACCTACAGAGCAAGCAAAACCCACCAAGTAACACGTGAATCCTCACAGTTATCACACTTAATCCTCATAAAGACAAAATTTGCTGTTGTTGCATTCCTCCTGTGGCTGTGGAAACCAGGCTTTGAAAGTTTCGACTGCTCCACCAAGCTCGCACAGCTGTAAGTGGTGGCTTTGGGACTCGGATACAGACCGCCTGACCCGAGATGCGGTGTTTGTTCTACTTCGCCAGAAAAACTTTCAGATCGAGAGTTGGCAAACTTCTTCTGCGAAGGACCAGACAGTATCTATATGGAAACCATAGAGTTTCTGTCTATCACAAGGACTCAACTCCACTCTTGTAGTGAGAACACAGCCAGAGACAAGATGTAAATAAATGAGTTTAGCTGTGTTCCGATAAAACTTTATAAAAACAGGTGGTGGGCGGGGTTTGGCCCAGAGGTTGTGGATGGCTGATTAAAACAGACAGAAGGAATTAGGCTCTACAGGTTCTACTTTTCTATCCTTCCAGAGGCATTTTTCCTTGCTGCTCCACTTACCCTACTGAATTATATGCAATAATTACGATTTCACCGTAAATTCACCTTCCTGTTCCTATCTGCTCCACAGCGCCAACTTTCCTCTTTCCCTAGCACAAATTCTAGCTTTGTCGATAAACACTATCGAGCAGTGATCAACACCTTTTTTTAAAATAAGGACCAACTCGGGAAAAAAATAAGGCTTTTCTCCTCTGAGTAAAAATAGCTTTATTGGACCCCAAAATGGAAAAACAATGTAAATATTCTGTGCTTTACCAAATATTTTTAAATGCTAATGAAAAATTGGTCCTGCCTTTGAGTTACAAAGATGCTAATACACAGGCAACAGAGTCCTCTTTCCATCTTCCACTCCTTATCTCTATATAGTGCTTTAGGATTCAAAACACGTCTTCTAAGACATTATTTCATTTCTCTTTGAGGGAGGATCATCGTGGAAAAACTGACACAGAGGTTAGGTGACTCATCTCGAGTCGATGCCCAATTAGGCACAAAAATCTACCAAATCCCACTTCCTTGCCTGCCTCCCGTCTCCTCCCACTTGAAGCCTGGACTCCATCTAAACCCACACGCTTAGATCAGCAGTTCTGAACAGATTCGTCTCCTGGTGGGGGCCCAGGCAGCTCTGTTCCCTTCGGGCTTCTGCTTTGTCGAACCGAAAGCTGCATGACGTGAGACCAGACACTTTTCTGGAAAACCAAACAGGGCATGAAGCTCTCCGATCTCACTGCTTTATGGGATCATTCCCTCCAGACACTCATCTACCCTCTTACAAATAACCATTTTTACAATTCTTGGACGGTTCAGTCAATGTCAAGTTCGTTCTTATTATTTTACTATCTTATTATCTTATCTTATTATTATTATATGTGTACTACTTGTTCTAAAAGTTAGTTTTATTTCCCCCCCAATAAACATAAATTTTCTCCAGTCTCTACTTCCCTCTCTCTCCCCTCGGAGATGACATTCTTCAACCCATTCCTTTCACCTGTCAGTGTTCTCTCGGCACAGAGTTAGTCCCCTGAATCTGTGGGCCTTTCTCCAACTAATTTTATTTTTTTAAAGATTTTATTTATTTATTTATTTATTTGAGAGAGAGAGAAAGAGAGGATGAGAAGGGGGAGGGTCGGAGGGAGGGGGACAAGAAGATTCCCTGCAGAGTCCAGAGCCCAATGCGGGGCTCGATCCCATGACCCTGCAATGATGACCTGAGCCAAAACCAAGAGTCTGATGCTTAACTGGACTGAGCCCCCCAGGTACCCATCTTCATAATTCATTTTAAAGAGTGTAGATAATGTCTAAGGCGGGCTCCTTACTCGAGCTGTTCCATTACTGGGTCAAAGCCATTTCTTGCAGATCTGATATTGTTTCAGAACGTCTGCCTGAAGCAAAGCAGCCCCAATGTCTTCGCCAAGCATACGCATTAGTTTAGGACCTGCCCAGTTGCAGGTAAGTGTTTTTAGCTACAAGGAGCAAGGGGGAGCAGCGAGCCCTGTGCACGCAGCCTTGCTGCCACCCCCCCACCACCACTCACCTCTGCAATCAGGTCATGGAGCTCTCCTTCACTCGGGCAGCAGCCTAGTGACCTGATGATTGTTCCGATCTCTCTGCAAGGAAAAAAATGGTCAGAAGTTTCAGAATACAAACTTGGAAAAGCATGCTCGGTGTCCCTCGAAACTTCAGGGCGGAGGTCGCCCAGCAAACAGTGCACTCAATACGCAAGCCTTGTGAGGACAGGAGCTACTTTCCAGGGAAAGGAAAAGGCAGCCAAGCAAACCAAAGGGAGAAGAAATAAGTGTTTGCATTGATTAGCAAATGCAAGCCCTGCCCGAGCCAAAACCCAGGAAGTTCTAGAAAACAGAAAGGGGAAGGGGGTAGGAAAAAGAAATGCCAGCCATTTACTAGGCGAGTTTTAAGTTAGTTAACTGTTTTGCACCTCAGTTTCTGCATCTGTTAAATGGGGACAGAGTTCTGTGCTGAAGTGCACATTAGTGGCAGAGTTCTTAGAAGCGTGGCCTCTAGTGTCCGATTGCTAGAGTCAGATCCCAGGTCGAGGCCAGGCAGGCTAATCTCTGGCTACGTAGGCGGACCTGGTGGGGAAAACACAGCATCTTCCTTCAAATACTTAGAAGGGGGCTGGGCATAGCCTCAGAGTAAAATAATACGAACTACCATAATATAAAACATAGCTCTTGGCAGAGTAGCCCCCCATAAATATTAGTTACTCCCCTGCCCCCTGTAATAATGTAATTTAATTCAGCAAATAGCCTAAGGAGAGTATGAATTACATTCGGTATTCTCTAGATGCTAAGACAGGGTTTGCAATAGATTATCAAATATTTCCACTTAAAATTACTAAAATTAAAGTTGCAGTACTGGGACGTGTACTTAATTTCACGAATATTCACTGAATTCATTTCTTTACCATTCTGGATACTATCGATGGTGTTATATTCACTCACTATTTTACTGAGAAAACCTTTTAAAGAAGAACGTCCGGGTTCTTCACTTACATAGGCTTAAGGATGAGTATTAATAGGAAAACCGAAAGTCAGTAACTGCGGAGGATGGGATTAATTTTCATTTATTGGTCTCCCTTCATCATAAATGAGGGCCAGGTAAACACGTAATGGCTTCCTGTTCCCTGCCTGCCCGACCACCGCAGTCCTAACACCCGTGCACTGCTTTTCACGCCCACGTCCCTCATGAAGGCAAGACGTGAACATGAAGGTGGGACGAGACACTGAAGCGTCCTGTAAGACTCTACTTCCAAGAAGTCCCCAAAGATGTCCCATGAATCTGGCAAACAGCACTGTAGTAAATAGATCATTGAACATCAGACTCCTACTGTGTACATTAGAACCAAGGGTTAATGAGGCACAGACAAAAGCATGACTTGGTCAGTATTCACAGATCTAGACCCTCCGTAACCTTCTAGGTCTATGTGCATCAGAGAAGCACAGGAAGTCCAGAATCAGAGGGAAAGGCCGTCACCCTGCATGACGGGGACCGGAAGCTCTCGCACGCACATGCATGGGACAGTGGTCCCCACCTCCATCTGACCAGCAATCACCAGGCATGTGATCAGTCCAAGTGAAAACAGGCTGTAAGTGTAAAATACACACAGATTTCAAAAAACTGAGTATCAAAATAAATGTCAAATATCTCACTGATAATTTTTCAACTGACACGTTGAAATGACTCTATTTTAGACAATGGGGTTGCATAAAACATAGTGTTAAAATTAATTTTACCTGTTTCTCTTTTATCTTTTTTAAAATATGGTTACTAGAACATTTTAACAGCACTAGAACATTACTAGTACCCCCTCTTTCTGGAAATGGCTAGGAATAGCTGTCTTCATGAGTCAGCGTGTGAGAGGAGAGGTATGGAGAGAAAAGAATTACTCTGCACTGGGTCAGCAAGGTCATCGATGCTCCTGGTGTCTGTCTGAGAAACTGTAAACCAGAGTGAACTGAGCCCAGGACATGGGAAGGGCTAAGGCGCTAGCTGTGGGTAGGGCCCGATCTCCCCTGAGATAGGACACCTGCGACACTGTGATTGGGAAGAAGGTCTGGCCAGAGACAGCTCTGGGAACAAAGCCACGGCAGCACAAGGGCTCCCCTGAGAAGAGTGCGCTGGTGGGCAGAGATCAGCCAAGGGTCCAACGAAGAACCTTCCAGAGCCCGGCCCTGACCCAGTGGTCCAAAGAAGAGGGCCGGCCTTAGACACAGAGGAGAGGTGCCAGAGCGCTAGGTGAGAACTCCACGGGTCTGCAGAGGGCCGTGTCCAGGGAGTGAGGAAAGACATGCGGAAAAGTCGGCGCCATCTCGGTGTCACGTGCTTCTGAGACTTCGAGCGAGTTCTGAGAAGCGCCCTTTGGGTTTAGGAAAGGAGATCAGCAGTGATTTTTTTGATGAGGGAAGCTGCTGTCGAAGGCAGTGGAGAAACCAGATTGCCCTGGGTCCAGGGGGTGGATGCGTGACATGAAGGGGAGGAAGGGATGACTGGAGCGGACACGGGGTCAAGGAAGATTCTGTAGGACCAGAGAGAGGGGAGCGCACTTGGATGTGGATGGGCCTGGCTCCCCAGGCGTGTTGGGGGTGCTGGTGCTCGGTGCTCAGTGTGCACACAGCCACCCCCATCCCCGACCCAGGTCCCACCAGCAGCAGCAGGCTGCTCTGAGTCAGAGGGTGGCAGGTCCTTCCTTTCTGCCTAGAAAGTTCTCCTCTCTCTCCCCTTCAGTTCCCCTTTGAAGGACCAATCGCCCTCCTTGCCTTTTCTGAGTGAATCCAGCTAGAACCAACCTGCTTCTTTCTCTACCCCTAAGACACGAAGGCCTGATTGACTTAAGAGGAAAAGGCAAAGCTTCTACGGCGGACGAGTCCACAGTGACCTAAAGAATGACACAGTAAATCAAGAACGCGCCTGCACCCCTACAAACCGGCCCGCGAGCTGTGTCTAGCAGTCATTTCCTCTACACCCGGCTGCTCCGTCTTCTCAGTCAATGCTTCAAAACGGCCATTTGCCCCATCCTAGATTCGGGGCCCCTTAACTTTCCACTCCGCTCGCTCTATCCATCTGCCATCTCTTGCCACAAGCTCCAAACCACAGACACACCTCATCTCAGCAGAAGAGCCCTCAGACCCACCCGCTATGTCCCCGAGCAGATGCTGATGGTTTGGGCACCACCGCTGACCACCCCCACCCACCTGCTGGGGTAGCGCGGGCAGCAGAGCTCCACGCCACAGCCTGGGCGGATGAAAGCCTTGCACCGTTGTGCACAGTTGCAGGGACTGCCGAGTCCAAGGCCAAGACGTCGTCCGGGTCAGTGTCTGGTGAGAACCCCGGCTTGCGACGGCCCCTGTTCTCTGTGTCCTCACACGGCAGACAGTGAGCCCACTCTGGGTCTCTGTCTTCTGTTTTTAAGGGCCCTGATCCATCGTGGGGTGCCACTCTCAAGATCTCACCTAAACCTCATCACTTCCCAAAGGCCCACCTCCAAACATTGTGGGGCTCGGGCTTCCTCTATGAATTGGGGAGGGACGCATACCCTTGGTGGGGGGCACTGCCGTGACAGACCCTGCCCGTGTACATTCTAGAAGCCCGGACATCCCTCCCTTCCTGTCCCTCTCAGCCTCTAAGAAACATAAAACGCCCTTCCTTAAGAAAGCTGACCCCTCTTGGTGTCCCGGACCTGCATTCTTGGCTCTTTCTTCCCACGGGTTATAGACACTACTGAGCGCTCACCTTGCTAAATGTACTTTTAAGCCCCTCAGTCTTGGTTCTTGCTCTGGACACACGTGCCTCCGCTCAGCATCTTCATCCTGTCCTCTACTAGTTGCTTCCTCTTTTGCCCTAAAATGTTCAGCTATCTTCCTTCCTCATGTTGAAGACATTCCTAATAGGTGCTCCCCACCCCCCGAGCAGGCTCCCCGCTTCAGTCACCGCCCCAGCCCTTGCTCTAACTTCCTCCCCTTGCGGCAGTCAGCCCACTGCCCACCCGTCCGCTCCAGGCCCAGCTCCAGGCCCAGCCGCCACAGACCTGCCATGCTCTCTGCCAGTCAGTCAGTCTGTCCTGCCTCTGGGAGCCTCTCCATCTTCTCAGCGTGCCACGGCCCCTCAACGGCCCCTCAACCCGGACCGCCGGTTGCAACATGACCTCACTGTTAAAACCGTTCCCAGAGGGGAGCCTGGGTGGCTCAGTCAGTTAAGAGGCTGCCCTGGGCTCAGGTCACCATCCCAGAGTCCTAGGATTGAGTCCCTCCTTGCTCAGTGGGGAGCCTGCTTCCCCCTCTGCCTGCAACTCCCCCTGCTTTTGTGCACTCTCTCTCTCTCTCTCTGACAAATAAATAAATAAATAAAGTCTTTAAAAAAGCAAACACACAAAAACTGTTCCCAGAGCTAAGAGAAGCAGCAGCTCAGGTCTGGACAGAGAGAAGGCCACTGGTGGCCTCAGCAGCAGCACCCGCAGGGAAGGAGGGACAGAAAGCCCGCGGGGTGCCAGTGGGGGAGGCGGGGTTGGGGACACGGACTTGAGAAGCAGGCACAGAGAGCACAGCTGGGGAAGGTGGCAGCTCTGGAGGGGAACCCCCCCCCCCCCCCCCCCCCCCCCCCACCCCCCGCTCCTGGCCAGCACTCTCTGCTCTCAAACTCGGTCCCCACGGACCCCTTTGCTCCTTGCAGCAGCCCCTTGTTGGGGGGGGGGGGTGGGCTCCGCGTTCTCTCCGTTCCACAGACAAGGAGACAACCCGGGACATTCAGCAACTTGCCCGGGGCCACACACAGCATTCCAGCAGCGGCTCCCCCAGGAGCAGGAGGCCGGGGCTGCGGGTCGGATTCGGACTCAGGACAGCGAGACTGCGAGACAGCAGACTAACTGACCTTCTGGCTGGGAACCCACAGCTCCTCTGGGAGTCGCAGGAATCGCCCCGCAGCTCACTCCTCCGCACGCCCACCAGCAGGCTGCAGGGGTGCGCTGGCCGCACGCAGCCGTGCCAGGGTTTGGCTCTGCTCTCCGGCGCTCAAATGTCCTTAACCCGCTTACCCCTGTCGACAGCCCAGGGAGGAAGGCGCCTGCTTTGATTCTACCGAGGAGGAAAACAGAAACACCGGGTTAGGCAACTTCCCCAGGATCCTAGGAAGTCGTGGCCGTGGGACCCCACCCTCCTCACCCCTGTGCGCCTCTGCCTCGCAGAAACATGGCCGAGAATTCCAGGAGACTTACAGGTGAACTTGAGTGTAACAAGGTGCTGCCCGAGAACACCAGAGGCTCCACCCCGTGGGAGCAGCGAGGACAGATCCAGGGCTCGAAACTGATGACCTGCGGGACAGACTTGACCAGTAGATCAGGTTATGTTCAGCCTAAGTGTTGGTCTCGTTCTCTAGGTGGGCCACCAGTACACATCCTCAGAAGTGTCACAGGCCTGGTCCCTGTGGAAATCTGGGTTTATCACTCCTGGAAAACAGTCATTTACTGTAGGCATTTATCTGCGAGAGGCAGGGGAAGGAGCCAAATGACCTCTTTAAGTTCTCCCCAGCTGCTCTGATTCTATTATATTCAAACACGCACACACACACACCTGTGGCTTATGTCAGTGAAGGTTCTAGTTCTTAGAAGACATACACTGGAGTATTGGGGGGGAAAGGTCATAATGTCCACAGCTTACTTTCAAATAGCCCAGCAATCGCTTCTCGGCCTTTTGGCTAAGATCAAGTGCAAATAGCCCAGCAAAATTGAAATAATAATAAAATGTGTAAATAGTGTGAATATGTGTGTGTGTGTGTGTGTATTAGAAAGAGAGAACACAAGCAAAAGCAAATGTGGCAAAATGTTCATAATCGTTGCTTCTCTTATCTGTAAGTGTAAAATTTTTTAAATAAAAAGTTTTCATTAAAAACAAAACAAAACATACAAGAGTGGGCACCTGGCTGGCTTAGTTGGAAGAGGGCACAACTTGTGATCTTGGGGTAATGAGTTCGAGCCCCACCCTGGGTGTAGAGATTACTAAAAATAAATGTACTTTAAAAACAAACAAGGGGCGTCTGGGTGGCTCAGTGGGTTCAAGCCTCTGCCTTCAGCTCAGGTCATGATCCCAGGGTCCCGAGATGGAGCCCGGCATCAGGCTCCCTGCTCAGCAGGGTGCCTGCTTCCTCCTTTCTCTCTCTGCCTATCTCTCTGCCTACTTGTGATCTGTCAAATAAATAAAATCTTTAAAAAACAAACAAACAAACAAGATAAGCACATTGAGAATGAAAACCAAAGTGATAAGAAGTAATAACAGAAATCCTGCCTCATATAAACTATTTAAAACCATTAGGCATATACTGTCTATCATTTTGGCTTCAGAACAGGTAAAAGTATCTGGAGAAGATGGAGCCTGGTTCATCCCTGACCCCACAGTGAGGAGGCAGTGCGGTGAACCACTCCGGGCGGGGGCCGGACAAGAGGAGGGAGGGGAGGGAAATTACAGGAGAAGCAAAGCCGCCTCTGAGCTCCTCTTGTTCTTACACATTTCGAAATACAAGACCAGAGGCACGGTCAGCCGATGATCCCAAGAGCTGCTCTGGCTAGGATTCTGGTGCCAAGAAACCAGGACTGCAGGTGGAGGGGTCACGTGGGCCTCCAGCACCCCAGATGGTGCCAGGATGGGGCTGAGGTCCTGGCCAGAAAGGAAGAAACCACATATAGCTAACCCGTCAGCCTCAGGAGTAGTGAGGCTTCTAAAGCTGAGCTAAGAAAAACAGAGAGGGGGAGAAGGCAAGGAAGACCACAGGCCAGAAAACTGTGAGACAGAGAGTTCCTGAGAAAGGGGCAGGGGTCTAGAAAGGAGAACTGAAAAGAAAAATGGAGGAAGGAGGCAAAACTGTAG